TTTGAGAAGAAGCGGGGGCTTAAAAGCTGCTTTGTGCCCCTCTCCCTTCCCTGCTGCAAGATTTAAAGGTCCCTTCAGCTGATTGGTGGGGAGCAAGTGCTCCCCGCTGATCAGCTGAAGGGCCCTTTAAATCTTGCAGGAGGAGAGGGAGAGGGGCACGCGCCACTCCCCTTCATGATAAAGCCACAGAGTCCTGGCTATGAGCCTGGTCAGCTCCCCTGACATTGTTCCTCTTTCCAACCACATAATCAGCCTCTCCTCTTCTCTGGGTCCATCCCTGTCCAGGGCTCTTTTTGTAGAAAAAGCCCAGCAGGAACTCATTAGCATAATAGGCCACACCCAACAGCAGGAACTCATTAGCATATTGGGCCACACCCCTGACAGCACAGCTCATTAGCACATTAGGCCGCACCCACATGTTACCAGAAGTGTGCTCATCCAGCCACACCCACCTTTTGCTTGTTATTCTGTTTACCTTGTTTGTTGTCAAAACCCAGGGCCTTTTTTTGTAGCAGGAACTCCTTTGCATGTTAGGCCACACACCCCTAATGTAGCCAATCCTAATGAGTTTCTGCTGTTGGGTGTGGCCTATTATGCTAATGAGTTCCTGCTGGGCGTGGCCAACTTGGGAGCCAGCCGGAACTCCGTTCCTGTGCGTTCCTGCCCAAAAATAGCCCTGCCTGTAGCAATGAAGATTGTTACAAAAGCCCCTGTTCTTTTAAAAAAGGCACGCCACACAACATGCTTTCTGCTTACCAGAGGACTTCTAGGCATCATTGCTTGGGATCAGTTCTCCTTTCATTTAAAATAGTTGAACTTTTTTTTTAAAGTAGAAACTAAGTTAACAGGCAATTGGTCCCAGTGGGACACACCGTGCTGTTTTTAACAGGGATGAACTCCATAGGGACTGCAGTGGGATTTCACGAGGGGCCAGGGCTCGGTGGCAGAGCATCTGCTTGGCAAGCAGAGAGTCCCAGATTCAGTCCCCGACATCTCCAGCTAAAAGGATCCTGTGGTAGGTGATGTGAAAGACCTCTGCCTGAGACCCTCGAGAACCAGCTGCTGCTAGCCTGAACGGACAATACTGAACTTGATGGAGCAAGATGATGATGATCAGGGGTCATTTCGTAGAAAAAGAGGTGCAGGAGCTCATTAGCATAACTCATTAGCATAACTTATTTGGATATGCCACACACCCTGACATCACCAGAAGTGTGTCAGAAGGCAACACCCACCGCTCAGGCTCCACTGGACTCTTTTGGATCGCTAGCTATTGGGGGGGGGGAATGTGCAGATTTGTCCTCGCAGAGGAGGAGGGAGAGCTTGTACCTGAATAAAACTTGGTCTTAAAGGTGCCACTGGACTGTTTTGGACCGGGGGCGGGGTGGGGAGCTCTGCAAATTACCTGGCTGCTTCTTGCTCTGACTGATGGCTGCTGGGAGCAGGGGGTGGGGCTTTTTGCATGTGCCCGCCCCCTGGACTCTTTACTGCCAGAGCTCCGCTCCTGTGCGCTCCTGCAGGAAATGACCCCTGATGATGATTAGATATTGTGTGTAGAATAGCCAGGAGATCCTAAGACTGTCTGATAGGCAGACGTTTTCTAGCTGTTTTAGCATTAGGCACCACTAGGTGGCGAGCTCAACTTGCTTTTAAGGCAAGAGGTGTTTCAGAGGTGGTTCGCCACTGCCTGCCTCTGCGTCACGACCCTGGTATTCCTTGGAGGCAGCCCTTCCAAATTCTAGCCAAGGTCAACCCTGCTTAGCTTCCGAGATCTGACGGGATCGGGCTATCCTGGGCTGTCCAGGCCAGGGTTAGCAAGGGTCCGAGTCAGCACAAGGCAGGTCTGCGTGTCCGCACGCACTCCTCACCCAAGAGACCCCTCCACCCAAATTTCAGACAGAAAGTATCCCCAACTACTGACAGAGTTAGAATTCCCACTTGGACAGCAAGTAACCATTTGTGTATAAGTAATATATTGTTTCCCTTCTTTTCCTGGAATCATCAAACAGGGGAGGTGGAGTTGTTGTTTTTTTTAAATTCAAAGATGGGATCTGCAAGTGACAGAAGGTAAACCCTGCTCTCTCCCCCGCCCCACCTCTCTGTGCTCCATTTCCTTTTGCATGTGCCCCTCCTCCCCCCAGCCCAGCTCACTTCCACAACCAGAGCCTGTCTGGGAGAAAACACGACTTCTACAGTGAGGCATTGTGTGTGGAGTGGGGAGGGGGGGGTACAGTAAGGTGGGGAGAATCAAGGTTAGCTCCCCTTGCTTACACACAGTTGAAGGTCAAAGAAGACGGGGACGGCAAAGGATGAGATGGTTAGACAGTGTCATCGATGCAACTAACATGAAGTTGAGCCAACTTCAGAGGACGGCGGAAGACCGGAAGGCCTGGCGTGATCTGGTCCATGGGGTCGCGAAGAGTCGGACTCGACTGTGCGACTGAACAACAAAACACACAGTGCTTTTGTTTATATAGTAGATCTTCCTTGATTTACACACAAATTAGTAGATATATTTATATTACATGATCCCCTTTCTGCAGTGCTTGTAAATACAAGCCACCTAGTGGCGCATAATCCTAAAACAGCTAGAAAACTTCTGCCTTTCAGACAATCTTAGGATCTCCTACACACAATGCCTGATAATCATCTTCCTCCTCCTCCTCATCTCCACCACCATCACCATCCTCCTCCTCCTCCATCAAGGTGAGTATTGTCTGTTCAGGCTAGCAGCAGCTGGCTCTCGAGGGTCTCAGGCAGAGGTCTTTCACACGACCTACCACCAGCGTTCCCTCTACACTGAGTTATAGTGTAAGCTAGCTCACAGTTTTTTTTAAGCACTGCCTACCACAGGATCCTTTTCGCTGGAGATGTCGGGGACTGAATCTGGGATTATCCCGAATCAACATTTCTCTCTGAGATGGTTACCCTGGGGCATAAGGGATGGGAAAGGTTTCGGCAGAGCTGGCACGGTGTAGGTATCAGCATATCAGACTAAGACCTACGAGATCCAAGTTCAAATCCTCATTGTCCATTATGTTTGCTGGGCGACCTTGGGTCAGTCCCTTTCTCTCTCTCTCAGTCTGATCTCCCTCACAGGGTTGTTGTGAGGATAAAACCAGGATGGGGCCCATGTCCACCACTCTGAGCTCCTCGGAGGAAGAGCAGGATAAAAATGAACTAGAAAGCTGTGTTAAAGGTCTTCTGCATTTCAAAGGTTGAGAACCCTCTCCCTTGATATGGAGCATCACTCTTAAGTCTACTTTACTGATCTGACATTAAAAGACAGGATTGCTGCCCGTGGCTGCAGACCTTTCGACAATGCATTTGGAGCTGGAGTTTTTATTTTGTAAGGTTTACACGTGTTTGCACTTCACGGTGATCATTTTCCTCTGTGCTACCACTCAGAAATTTTGAATCTAGGGATGTTGATAAATGGAGCAGGTGCAATGCTTTTACAGCGGGATTAAATTAAAACAGGCAGTGTGCATTTTTAATAGGTGCTTTTGGGGATACATGAATCGTGCAAAGCTGGAAGTCACTCGCTGAACCTGCTGTGCAAATCTCCGGGGGCAATTTCCAGTGGTCTCTGGCTGTCACCAGTAATAAGCAGAAGGGGTGGCGGTGGGGTAGTGGAGCTGGTGGAGCTGTACCCCAAACATGGGCCAAGTGTTATTCTTGGCTACCGTGATAACAACTGGAAGGGAAGTTTTGGATCACTATTTATCAGAACGACATCCTGTTGCCCCGCTTCACAGCTATCTAGTCCGCTGTTCACCTGCAGTATAACAGAAACAAACTGCAATTCTACTAGCAAGTCTTCAATTAAAAAATTCATGGGAGACCTTTTCTTTTCTTTTTAAATAGCTATTTCTTAACAATGGCTTGGGATGCAAAAGAGCTGCTGGAGGCGAGACAATATTTCCTACTTCTGAGCAGAATGAACGGATGGAGTTTTTTTACCATTCGAGATTCATCCCGTGTGTCAACAAATGGTGAAATCAAACGGCGGCAACCGCAGACAGCGAGCGGCTCGGAGCGTTGTTACGTTTCCCTACTCGGATTTGCAATCAAAACCCTTTTCACTGACCTTCAGGAAACGAGCTCTCAGGCGTCCATTGGAGCCACTCCGAACACCAGAGCCTTAAGATCTGGAGTCAAACCGTGACCATATCACGGCAAAACAAACCAAGGAAGGACTGGGAGGAGGGGAGCCTATTGCTGGCAAGGTCTCCAAAGACATTTCTGCTTGCCTGCTTTTATGCCTCTTGTCACTTTCAGCCTCTTTGAGCTGCTGACTCCGGCAAAAGAAAAATCCAGCCTCGCTCATTGAGAACATTTCCTTTGCGGTCGCAAACACGCAGGAGGGATCTGCTTACCTGTCCAACCCCCACCCTGATGATTCTGTCGGATCTTCTCTCCTTCGGACCCCTACATTCAGACAAGGGTCTGGCCAAAGGCAACCCCGTTCATCCCAATCAGATATCCACCGAGAACTCTGCACACATCCCGGGAAGGGAGGGCGAAACAGCACGCCGGATGGATCCCACGCAAGACAGCCCCTCACCAGGGCCAGTCATTTAAATCAGGCTAACTCTGACTGCAGCTCCTTGACAGAGGAAAGGGGGGGCAAAAGTTGATTTGCCACAGAGGAGAGACTCCTCTCCTCCAGCCACTGTCATGACATGAAAGCGAAGGAGACACACAAACAGTTTCTATAGCAGCTACCTTGGAGAGAGGTCTCATGGACCACAGGGCACAGGCAAAGGGAGTGAAAAATGCTCCTTTGGCTCCCCCACACTGGCTGGCGTGCCCACGAGCTGCCAAACCCCTTTCCTTCCCTGCCCCCTCTTTCTCTCCTCCCGCAGTCCCTTAAGTAGCGAGGAAAGCATCCAGGAGCTGGGAGCCAGGCACGCAAGTACACACAACAAGCCTCACAAGCAAACATCCTTCTCTCTCCCTCACTCTCTCTCATACACGCCCGAGAGCACAGAACTCACCATCGGGGGCTTCCTCCCCGCGACTGCAGTTGCTGCATATGTGTTTGATCTCCTTGCCTATGTGGCAGTGGATCACAAAGGACACGTTGTTGTTGTTGCTCGCCAAGGGCTCCTTCAGGGGCTTCATCCTCACCAGGTAGAAAGCTCTTTTCCTAGGCTTCTCCTCACCCTTGTCTGGAGCCGAGCCACCCCTGCAGCCCACAGAGGACGGGAAAGAAAGCCTCCCGGGCTGATGGGTCTGTGTGGAATCCGCCATCCGCTCACCCTCGCCTTGGAGTCTCTCTCTGCCTCACACACTCAGCCCCCCCCTTCTCTCTCTCTCTCTCTCTCTCTCTCTCTCTCTCTCTCTCTCACACACACACACACACACAGAGGGATTAAAAGGGAGGGAGGAAGCAGTGGGGAGAGACCGAGGCAGAGAGCAAGCAGGGAGAATCGGAGCCCAAGCCCTGGGTGACCTCTCTGAACCGGCTGCCTAAGCCAATTCAAATGACTGGAGGTGTAGGGAGGTGCCGGGCTGGGCTGGGCTGGGCTGGGCTAGGAGAACCTTCACCGGCCAGACCTCTCTCGCCTCCTCTCACCTTGCAAACACGGAGGGCAGTCGGACACCCCGCCCAGTCACAATCAGCAAAGCACAGAGGCATTCTTTCCGACTCCCCTCTTCCCTACAGCACTGTGAGCCTTTGCATGCAAATGGCAATGGTGTGCTTTTTGCACTGGGCGGACATCGGTCTTAGGGTTGCCAACCTGGCCACTGGGGAGGGATGGGGGGGGGTAGAGTTGCCAGATCCAGGTTGGGAAACTCCTGGAGATTTGGGGATGGAGCCTTGAAAGTGCAGGGGTCTCAGTGGGGTACGGGGCCACAGAGCCCACCCTTCAAGGCATCCATTTCCTCCAGGGGAACTGATCTCTGTACTCTGGAGATGAGCTGTAGTTTTGGGGGATCCCCAAGGACTCACCTTGAGGCTGACTTTCCTAATTGGTCTCAATTTCACTTAACGAAACAACATGGCCAACAAGCGTGGGCAGTATTTGGACCTTCCTTTGTTACAATTACCATATATCTCTCTCTCTGTCTGTCTCTCTCTCTCACACACACACAGAAATTAGTCTAATATGATATACTATTGCTGCCAGCTCCGGGTTGGGAAATACTTGGAGATTTAAGGGGTGGAGCCTGAGGAGGATAGGGTTTGGGTAGAGGTATAATGCCACAGAGTCCACCTTTCAAAGTAGCCATTTTCTCCAGGTGAAATGATCTCTGTCACCTGGAGATGAGTTATAATCCCAGGAGATCTCCAGCCGCCTCCTGAAGGTTGGCAACCTGACCCATCACCCTATCTCAGTCCAACCTTCCTCACAGGGGTGTTGTTGTGAGGACAAAACGGAGAAGAAGAAGAAGAAGAGGAAGAAGAGATTGGATTTATACCCCGCCCTTCACTTGGAGTCTCAGAGCGGCTTACAAACTCCTTTCCCTTCCCCTCCCCACAACAGACACCCTGTGAGGTGGGTGGGGCTGAGAGAACTCTGACACAAACTGCTCTTTCAGGTACAGCTGTGCCAGAGCTTGTGACTGACCCAAGGTCACATCAGCAGGTGCAAGTGGAGGAGTGGGGAATCAAACCCAGTTCTCCCAGATTAGAGTCCGCACACTTAACCACTACACCAAACTGGCTCTCAAACTGGGATGTCCCTCATAGCAACTCTAATGCTGAAACTGCACACGAGCTAAGGGGTAATTGCGATACCTGCTGCTGGAGCGCCCTGAAACTCTTGATGGTTGCACCATTGTTTTGCTACTGTAGTCCCATTTGTGTGCTGCTCAGCCTTTTGTATTGAGAAGAAAAATGAGGTATACATATCTAAAATAAATAATAAATAATAAAGACTGACTCCGCCCCTTGACTCATTGCCATACAAGGCGAGACAGAGGCACAGGATTTTTTTTTGAGGAGAAAAATGAGGTAGACATATCTAAAATAAAGAATAAATAATAAACACTGACTCCGCCCCTTGACTCATTGCCACACAAGGCGAGACAGAGGCACAGGATTTTTTTTTACATATCTTCCCATCATATCAACAGACACAGAGACAGCAGCAGAATTCTCCCCTGTGCGTCTCAGCTGTTGTTCTGGCTGTTGCTGTTCACTCACAGAAAAAGGAGGTTAAAGTGGCACATCCTAAGGGAAGGCTCTGCCAAAGCATCTGTTGCTGTTCATGTAAGGGAAGAGGAGGGAGTTAAAGAGTATTCTGACTGCGTCATGACCAGCTTAGGAGAAAACACCTATGGAACATCACAAGTAGCGATAGGGTTGCCCGGTCCCTCCTGGCACCGATGGGGGGGGGGAACGTACGAGGAGGAAGGAGGCCTAGGAAGTGACGTCATCACACCAGCAATGTCTGGGCAATGCTCTGGAATTTGAACAAAAACTCTATGGTAAAACCAGAGCATTGTCCAGACATTGCTGGCGTGATGATGTCAGTTTCCTGTGTGACACCAGCCACGAGGCCTAGGCCTTCTCCTTTCTCCTGATAAGTCCTCCTTGCTGGGGGAAGGGCCTGGCTACGGGGGACCCCCGACTCTGGCAACCCGTAGTAGAGACGATGCCAAAGTTTGGACTGAAACTGCGGGAAGGAACTTGCAATGGCGATCTTAAGAGTTACGTGACAAGCCAAGCCTAACACAGAGGTCAGCCTTGGCTTCATCACGCTCTGTTCAGGCAGGCCCTGCTTTTCCTTCTCACCCCGAATCTTACCTTGAAGTGTCTGAATTCCAGGACTGAATGTGTCCTTGGCATCTGGAATGTCAAAATGGCAGCCCCTCAAGTGCTCCCATTTCACTAGTCTGGATCCCTTCTGCCACATAAACACTGAGGGCTGGGACCCAGGTGGTTCCTTGCGTGGACTGTATGTTGGGGGCCCTGTTTCACTCCCACAGGTGTCATCAGGAGCACCACAAATTATGAGTTTTGGAATGAGTTTGAGGGGGGGAAATGAGACACCACCTTATTAAAAAAAAATAATTTGATTTAGCGAAGACTATATCGAACTGAGCCAAGGGGATTCAGTTCATCCGTAATACCAAGAGAGGTCCTTAAGACTGGGGGTCAATTCCGTAGGCTAGGTGGAAATATTCTGGAAACCTCTGGGCCTGATGTAAGACAACCAAAGGCCCTCTGCGCTGTGTATACGTAATGGAGCCAGTTTCCCAGTATAGCCTGTAAAACGTCTGTTCCTCCCCCTCTTGTATTCTCTGTTGGCGTCTCTTGTTCCAAATACAGAGAGGCTATATCTGTCTCCTGCTTGACAAAGGCACCATTGAGACAGGCTAGCAGGGCCTGGTGACATCGGGGCAAACTTGTCCAAAATGGACTCCTCCTCCCCTCCCTGCCTGAGGGTCACTGAGCAGAGCGGACTCTGAGGCTGATCGGACTGCTAATCTCAGGGTGAATGCCCTCCCTTTGTTGTCCCCACGCCTCTTCGACCCGAAGAGCTACAGTTATCACCCTTGAATACTTATAGGCAAGACAGGGTTTTTAATCCCTCCCCCTCCCAGGCTATAATATCGAAACAAAGCCTTTAATTGAAATCAAATCTTTGCTGTCCAGCTGGTCCATCGAAAAACAGTTGTCTTCCGAAGGAACCAAGAGATACCACATGCTGTCTAGTAGACGGAGGGTCTTTCTTGTCAGTGTTTAAGGGATGGTACTGGACTACGGAGCATAGAAAGGATGCAGGTGGATCATGGACCTTGAATGATCTGGTGAAAGCAACACAGCGCGGGGTGGTGGGGGAGGAGATGAGAAAAATCATGGCTGTTAACGGAATCGTGGAGCTACTGGGGCTTAAATGTCAAGACTCCTTCTGTCCACCCTCTGCCGAGGCAAGAGTCCAACTCCCTTCCTCCAACAAAAATAACCTATGCAGTAGAAGAAACAGCCCAATTTAAGACCATTTTAATGCCTTGTATGGCAGAAAGATGGTACAGGGTATTATAAAATACCCAGTAAAGTTCCATAAGTAGAAGGGAGCAGGAACCAAGGTAAAACCACCAACAACCTGCCTCTTAAGAGAAGGCAAACCTATCTTTTTAAAAGACATTTTATTTATTATTACATTTTTATCCTGCCCTTTCCCCAAAGATCTCAAGGTGACACACATCCCTTACAACTTTACCCACAAAACAACTTTGTGGAGTAGGCAATGCAAGAAGATGCCTGAAAATATTTGTCCTTTCCTTATATTCCACATCAGATTCCATACACTACATCCTTCTACCTTGTCTATACAAGGGGCCGCGGTGGCTTAGAGATTAAGACGCTGAGCTGAAGACCGGAAGGTCTGTAGTTCGGCAGTTCGAGACACTAGTGCTGTGTGACAGAGTGAGCTCCCGTCTCTGGTCCCAGCTCCTGCCAACCCAGCAGTTCGAAAGCAAGAAATTGCAAGTAGATAAATAGGTACCACTTTGGTGGGAAGGTAACAGTGTTCTGTGCACCTTGGTGTTTAGTCATGCTGGCCACGTGACCACAGAAACATCTTCGGACAACACTGGCTCTTCGGCTTTGAAACAGAGATGAGGACCGCAACCCTAGAGTCCGATTCGACTAGCTTTCGAGCAAGGGAAACCTTAACTTTGTCTATAGGGTGAACAGGACACATTGCACCAGCTATTTTCTACAGTTTAAACCGGTCAGCAAAACTAGTTAAATGTTTAAAAAGATTTTTGAAAAGTATGGATGAATTGCCCCATGGAACGGACAGATTGAGGGCGGATTAAACCGGCATGATCAGATGCCAACATCTGGCAAGCGTCGCGTACCCGCCCCCAACTCGTCCCTTTTGGCCAAAGATGTGGAGTAAAAAACCCCCTGCAAAACACTACTACCTACTGGAAAATCCACAGCACGGGTGGCCGTGTGATCGCCGACGCACCCATCTCCTGCAGCATGCGAGGCCCCCTGCCGAACTGCGCAGGCGCACACATGTGCAGCTGACTCGCCTTGCTCTCCTGTCCGTGGCTTCCCCCTCGGCACCTGATCACGCTGGGGAGCATATGCACGGTGACTCGGGGGATCTGTCTGATCCCGCTGCCGCGCTTCTCTTTTGCTGTGGCTCTAAGAAGCCGCACTTCCGCCCCGGCTTTTCCTGCGGTGTGACCGGGGCCTATATTGCCCAGAAGATTAAGTCCTACAGTTTTTAAACAAATACCAAACAGATGAGACTAAATACTGTACCCAAATGATATGAAGGCTA